TCTCCTTCCCAAGTGGAGTAGGTGCCCAGGCTACTCAAACTATACCAGAGAACACCACCAGGAGGCGGATCACAACACCTTCCATCGTTTGCTTGTTTTTATAGTGTCAACTGCACACTCGCAAGCGAAGTCTTGGCGCGCACAAAGCTCAATTCGTAAAACTCTTGCCCAAATTCGGAATTTCACGCCCTTCGAGGTAATATCCTTCCATCGCATCGTCTTGTAAACTTGTCCGGATCCCTCTCACGTCAATCCCAAAGAACAGTCTCCCAGATTTGTGCGCCACGCTTTGCTTCCTCCTGCGGGTGTAAAGATCGGCGTGGGCGTGTATTTGGCGGTCAACTGAGGCCAGAGAAGGTCGATGAGAGGTGTGGTCATTGGGTTGAGGATGTACTAGGTCGTACTTGTAGGCTTGATGAGACTCGGGTAGGAGTCAAACTCGTTGGGTGCAAAAAAACGACGTGGAGTATCTTGAATCATCGCCTCGTGGGCCAACTTCTAGTGTATTGCGAAATTTGACTGAACTTGGCCCTGGGAGAATATTTCACTCCCAGGTTCGTAGAGGAATCCGCGTACAGGTGTTCAGTCTTGCCATCCGATGCGTGGTTAGAAAGAGGTTGACGACTCAGATGAGAATGATAAGAGAGATATTGTCGAGAATTCGTCAAATAGAGATATACTTCAGATTGCTTTCGACTTCGATTCGGATACGATCATTCTTGGCTATCCCAGATATGCAGAGCAGACTGAGCGATTACACCAGCACCACTAGAAGGTGAGGAATTCGTCTTTGCCGGCTCGCCTGGCGATTTAGGTTTTTTATCAAATTGAGTCACCTATTCTGTACTTTTTCTCTGGTATTGTGTCATAGCTAGATAGTTGCATACGTAATTAAAATCTTAAGTAAATAAATATATCAAAGCGATGCTTGTATATTAATCTTATGTATTATCATTTTTGCCAGAAAGCTGCGCAGCGTTCCACGCTGTCCGTATCGTCCATTTGACATCGTGATCATTATTTTTACATCTTCCTTACTCTCCTACCATCTTTTCGCTTTCCGTGCTCCAACATGGCGAGTGTGGGTGTGGGTAAATCCAGCGGTTTCGACGCGTCGCAAAATGCGACAACGACATCATCAAACAACGGCAGCGGAGCGCAGATAGCTCCAAAGGATCCTTACTTGGAAATGATAGGGAAGCTATTAAAAAAGGACAGACTAATTGTGATTGGAGAGATGGGTGAGGACCTACCAACGATGTAAGACGTAAATGAAGCCGTCAAAGCATTCAATTATCACAAGAAGGCTTGGACAACGATGTCCCAGATCCCATCTCCTGTCGAGGAGAGGATGATGGCTTTAGAGGAAGTCGTAAAGAAAAGCCTCGCGGATCCCGCTCGAAAAGCTGCTCCAGCAGTGGTTTCGGGCGCGCCGACACCAAGGATCTACGCGTCGGTCGTAGCCCCGCAAATGGCGAAAACGGCGGTCAGAATAAGAATCGACGGCGCACAAAACTTGCAGCCACAAGAGCTGATAACAAAGGCACAACGACTTATCCAAAGCACATACGCGATTCGCCAAATTCTTAGCAACGACACTGAGGTGTTCGTCCAGTCGGCGTCCCAGAGAGACGCGGCGCTCAACATGCGCCAACCTAACGAATTTAAGATCCTACGTCAAGATTTTCCCGTCGAGGTTTCAGGTTTCCCGTTGCGGAATCGAATTGAGAGTGGCAGAGATGCCCAAAACCACGTTTCCATCAGGGAGATTGAGGTAGCAACTAAGGCTCGAATTCCCGGCCTCGTGATTAATCGAATCAGGTGGCTACTCGATGGAAAGGAGCACCAGCGATCGAAGAAAAACGGTCGCAATCGAGGATCAATTGTGGTCAGCCCTCCATCAGAGGCAATGCAAACAGGGGTAGTTCGAAAGGGCCTTGTAACTAATGCCATGCTCTTCACCGCGCAGGTGTGGTCACCACGGGCCCAACCAAAGCAGTGTTACAACTGCAGCCAGTGGGGACACACGCAAGCGTCGTGTGGAAAGGCAGCTAGGTGCGGTGAGTGCGCTGGTGCTCACCAAACTCGGGACTGTCCGGGGAAAAGGGTTTCTTGTGCGAACTGCGGCAAGGAGTACCATTCGTGGCAGAAAGCAGCAGTTCGGACCTACCAGGTCTACAAGGGAAGTGTGGAGAAGGCTCGGATGGAGCTATTATCGAGAACGGCAGATATATGGAACGAAAAACCTACAATGGCGCCAATGCGAACAGTCGGAACGACTGATGATCAGGGATTCACTTTGGTCACCAGTAAAAAGGCTGTAGGACACAGAAGAGGGCCGGGACGACCACGCAAGATATTCGAAGCCCCAGTGGCACCAACCATCGCCTCGACAGCAGCACCGCCATCGGGACCTACTCTTCGAACACTTCGAAGACTAACGCCGAGTGAGGAGGTGCCTTCTCTTTTTAATTTTTCATAACGTTAGTCTGATCGAAGGGGGAGTTAACGAATTCAGGGGAAAGTTTATAAATTTATGGCTGAAAGGAACGTCCTCAGCATTAAGCCGGGTCGGTTCAGAGTGGCAGGACATTGGGTTTTGCTTGTTGAAAGCTTTACCCTTCTTAACATGGCTTACCGTCTTCAAGGTTCTGTATACAGATACCGCATAGGACGTTAAACGAGACTAATTCAATTCAATTCAATCTTATGTATTTCTCCCAAATGATTTTTTATCTGATCCATTACCATGCTGAGTTATCGACAACAAACAGGCATGTGTTTTGTGAACAAAGGATATTAAATCTAACCCACGCAGCAAATCGGCCTTAAAATTTACTAGGTTTACAAGCATCGGAAAAGTCTAATATAAAACGGCTTGAAATACCTATCAGTAGCTGTAATAAGAGCTACAATACCGGCTTCGTGTCTGGGGCTAATCCCATATTTCTAGCCTTGTAAGTCTCATTGAAGCTGGAGATGATGCTGAACAAATGATGATTGAGTGCATGCAATTCATTTAATTGATTCTTCTCGAGATTTTATTATGGATATCATTTGATATTACTTGTTTAGGATCTGGCATGAGGGTAGAAAATATTTTTATTTTTCTGGCTAATTCTACGATAGACTTCGGTAAACCAAGGAGCCGAGCCATGTGCTGAATCCCTCATTTTCTCAGTAATATTTCTGGATGACAGTCGCTAAATGTGCCGAAATTCAGCCGGACTTCTAATTGACTCCATAACAGGGAATTGATATGATAATTTTGCTGTGGGCCGTCCTCAAACAGTTCTATAGTGTTGAATTGAATAAGTTAACATGTCAGGCTAACGCCCAACACCCAGAAGGCTTGACACTAGTTCGTGTTACAGAAAGATTCACTACTGCCACTGAAGGTGGCTTCATTTGGTTAAAAATTTATAAGATTGATAAACAGGATGCAAGGGGAAATTTTTGCTGCCCTGACTCAATGCTCTGCGCCTACCTAGCATGTTCGGTTAGTAAATGACTTGTTAGATAAATTAACCGGCCCCTCCCTGACGTGTAAGCCAGACTTCATGTTTAAATCTTCGTGATAGGCTGACAGTCTTCGTATCGTATTTGTAGAGCCATGGAAGCGGATGTGATTTGAAGTTATGGAAGGTAATAACCTGCATGGCGAATTTGTGATGCGACAAGAGATTTCTTGGTACCGCTACACGTATTTACGATGGGCTCTGTCACCTAATTTTGAAGATTGGCATGCATTCTCATTTATTTGGTTAGGTTAACTATTTAACCTACGCCCCTCAAATACCATTAATGTCGTATTTGCTGAAAACTGGGTCACTTTATTAAGGAATATTCACCTACCAGTCTTCCGCGGATGCTTTAAAGAGTCTTCAGATCTGGGCGAAATGGAATATTTTACACTCGGTGTTTACCTGCTTGAATAGAGAGGCAAGGACATGCGTTCGTGTTTAGCCTATTCCACTCGTGTTTACCATCAGTGGGGCACTCTTCACCAGGCAGCAAGCCCACCACCATTCCTTCAGGATCTCTAGTAAAAGTCGAGTCAGCCTCTATTTAGAAGTCCTGGTGCTACCTTGGTCCCGTGGGCCTAACAGGGCCGACGAGATGACATGGGAGGGGGAGGGGGAGGGCGCAAGCCCGGTAAAGGCCAAGTCTGCAACTGTACGACAGCGTCAAATTAGACTGAATGCAGCTTTCTATATGGTGCTGTGGGGAGATTTGATAGCTCAATGATCCAAGTTTAAAAGTGTTTATTCATTCATTATACACAATAAGATACTTACTAAACACAGTATACCTATATCCAAGACTTTCGGAATATTTATTTCAGCAGTACATCCGCCTCCACCCTTTTAGTTCTATTTTAATGTGGTACTAGATCAATTATTAGTGATTGACATCCTACAAGTTGTTTATGTAATCGCTAGTAAGACTTTAGGATAGCGGCTCAGAGCGACCTGGGTCTCCATGTCTAGAGTAAGGATCACAATCGGGTCGCATGCAAGGAACCTCGTATTTCAAATTTATTCCAGGGCGACCTACTTCACTAACTTGTATTATCAACTCTAAAGTTGATGCAAGACCTTATATTTTCCGACTTGCAGCTTACACCTCTCCTTGCTGTAACTTTGAGGGCATCAGCCTGCCCTGAGAATGTCAAGGCATTCTGACGGTTACCATCCGTATCGACCAAATTTTCTGGAAAAAGGCTTCAATACTTCATCAAAGCCAACAAAGTTTTTGTGATTCAAAGTTATCTCGCCACCAGTTGGATCAAAGATAAGGTGTGAGAATTAGGTTGATATACTCGACAATTTGTATCCGCCGATGGGCTTTTTCGACTTTTGATAAATCTCGAAAACTTAATTGACCTACAACCAAAAGTAGTTTCTCCTCGCATTTGTTTCTAAGCGATTTTTCATCCGATAAAATATCATAAGATTCATTTAGACCTTGGCCAGCTGATTTTCGACTAAAGGGTGAAGATGGTGGTAGGGAAGATAATTGTATGTCAACCGTTAGACACCTCATCAAGTCCCTTGAGTTCCGAGGTTCAATTACCGCACCCTAAAGCCTGGCCCAACCAGATTCATTTCTGCACAGGGCCTACCCAGTTAGAATTCACGGCAGGTATAGTTTTCGAGGTCTCGGTGATCAGCGAGGCCTGGGATAAACCAGGGTCTAAGCTGCATCGACTATCGTGCATTCCAGGGCGACTACCTCGTCTTTTCCCCACTCTAACTACTCGAATTAACGACTTGTTTGTTCTGGCTTACTTTGTACTATTCAGCTGTGCTTACATGTTGCCAGTCACAGCTATGATACATTGGCGTCACCAACAACACAATTTGCTAGCTAATCAACTTTCACCCGAATCTGAATTTGGCCAAGGATTCTCTCTCACGCAGTTTTTGGCATTCTCAGACCCTCTACTTGTGGATCCACGACCTGCTCCATCAGATGAACGAGTAGTTCCTAAAAAGATTTTAGAGCGGCCCGCAAACTATGACTATCTATACGCAGATAATCATGCTCGCATTGCTCTTCGAGACTTAGCCCCAGCTTCTAAGACGCCATCTGTCCCACAATCTGCACAAGCTACTCCATCGACAACTTTACCAGGAATCATCACCACAGGTTCAACACCCAGTACAGCCGCATGGCCATTTCCAAGTGCATTCGATGTAGGCTTCAATAATAACATTACGGCGGCATGCCAATCTTTTATGCATGAGATGTTGGAAGGTTCGACATTTAAGGAATGTTTACCAATCTCTATGCTGTTGGAGGTATGTTATTTTATATCGTGAGATGGCCGAAAAGATAATTCCTTTGATTATTTGTAATTGGCATCTACCAAATGACTTTAAAAATTGGCATCAACATGTTGGAAGCGTTAGAATTCTAAATAATTTTCCCAGTAATTTTAGAGGGACACAGCTAACTTTTCAGAACTCTAACTCGTTTTTCCAGACTTCAAAACATTTACCTCGCATCACATCTCTACTGAAAGCTTCTTGCAGCGCACCAGTCACATCATGTTCCCAACGTTTCGATACTTATGCTATGAACTTAACCAGCGCTTGCTCTACAGATCTCGCTCATCTAAACCCACAGATTCAATCGGGACTTCTGGGCCTAAAATCCTACCAGACCTTGTATACAGCCTCATGCCAGCTCACAACAGATTCTCTCCCGTCGAATGATAACACAACTTCTACTTCTCGAATACCAGCGTCATTAAAGTCATCGGCATCTTCATTCTGTTTCGCCAACGCCATTACTAATACCACTAACCCTACGGACTCATACATTTATTATCTGCCACTCAATGTCAGTTTAGTTGGAAGCGCTGTACCCACGTGCAACTCATGCTTACAGTCCACTATGGCTGTGTTTCAGAAAGCCACAGCAAATCGATCCAATGTTCTCGTGGGTAACTACGTCAAAGCTGCGAGTCAAATCAACGTGGTTTGCGGCCCAGAGTTCGTTAATGCCAGTCTAGCGTCCGCCATAAGTAGTGCTGACAAGACAGCGATTGATGGTGGTCGAATCATAGCCCTGTGTTGGATATGGCTGTTAATTGCCGGGCTTGGATGGCTTGTATGAGCACATAAGCTGGAAACTGAACCGCGTAACGTCTGGTTAAAACCATATAACGGCTAAAAACAGTGTCATTACGGGACTATATCCAAGTAAATTATGCAATTATTGCATATTCGGCAAAATCTATTCATCTCGCACTAGTTAATGATTGAAAGGTCAGACTTTCGCCTTTGGAATACTATCCCTTACAAGCCAAGTTATTACAAGGCAAACACTTTTAAGTAGGAAAATGGACAGCATAATTGTCATACCTCATAGGCAACAACATCTTTCGCGTACCTCAAAACCAGGATTTTACTCTTCGAAAGGGTTGTTTTTATTCAAGGGCAGAAGACGAGCCCACTTGAGCTCTAACTTTCATCTTTCAACTGGAAATCTTCTACAAGATTACGCACTTCAACATTTTTCTCATCAATGGATCATTTTCTTTTTTCCTTAGGGTTGGGCATGAGATTAAGGCCAAAAACTTCTGTTTCAGATCAACATCCCTCCAATGCTACTATGCCTCCAATCTTCGCGAGCTCTATTATCGTCTGGACAACTCTAAATGATTATAATATTACAAAAACTTGCGTATTCTTTAGCGTGCTATGAACATGTAGTTAATCCAATGGCTTATCATTCTTTGATACCCATCATTCAGAAATGAATTATTGTCTAATATGGCCTGATCTAACAGCAGATTCACGGTCATAAAAGTTGCAACATTATGCCTGCGGCACGAGGATTGGATTACAAGTTGATTGTTAATGCATTCGTAAATATTTAACACTAGTAAGCTTTGCAGATACCTCGATACACCTGCATGTTACAGTCGGCGAAGGGCCTAGACTCTTTATTTGATGTTAAAGTTGTGTTTTTACAACCTATAAATAGTCTAGCCTCTCGTACCCAATAGCAAGGCATTCGGTGATATGAAATTCGAACTCTAGAGCTAAAAGCGGGACCTGCCAATTTGATGGCCACGGCCAACTGAAACTACTGAGGGTATCAGTAATTTATGAGTCAATGATAACAACTATCATGGAAACCCTGGTTCTGTGACTCGAGAACAACAATTTCAAGCGCACTAGTAACAAGCGGGGCTCTGCATGTCCGAGCGTAACAAGGGCCAATCCTGGCTAATCGGTCTCGCTTTCCTTAAAAGTTCCGTACATATTGGGTAAAGCTGATAGCCCAAGATCTAGATTGTGGTCCTATATTTGTTTTTCTAGATAGCCGCCGCTGAAACTGCTGACCTACTATGCAAGGCATCTAACTAAGCAGAGGGAATGAGGCAGAAAACCTCGTCTTGGGACACAATATAAGATAGACTATATTGTTACGTGTAGCAAAAGTGCCGGCCCTTAATTCTTGAGATAAGGGTCGCAGATTTTGTTAGTTAATTGACTGCCATGGGCGCCGTCAACTACACTAGAGTGATTAGGCTATTCATATCTCGCATTATCTCATGCAAATTCAGTTATCTGTGATTGGCTTATAACCAGTTTTATTTTTTTCATATCGTTTACTGTGTATTCAGCCATCAAGCTGTACCAAATTGTGAGTGCTCTTTGTTCATGATACATGAATTTCTTGAAGTTAGGTATACTCAAACTTTGTATCTCGTTTGCAAATGCCACTATGAGGTATATTTTCTTACGCTTACTGTCTAATCTCCTGTGTAAGTACCCATGAAAGACAGGTTTCAAAAAAATTATTGCCAAATTATGCCCTTGTCTTCCAAAATAACCAGCGCCGCGAGAAATGTAGTCAAATTCTGCTAGATTTGAACCATCAATCTCCTGTCTTGAACGGGATACGTGTCCAAATTTTGCAGAACCTATTTATTAGATCGACCTGGATAATGTACCACTGCGCCATCCAAGCTAGACTGTATTCAGGTCATCCATTTTGCTGTCTATCTCCAATGCTTAGCGCGCATGATATACTTCAAGTTGAAAAGCTCGAGGACAAAAACTATATTTTCACTCATTTGGTGATTATATTATTCCTTCGCACTACCTTGAATATCTCTCTTGAACTCTCTTAAGTCCATTCCAAGTTCTGCTTTGCCAGATTTGTGCGCCACGCCTTATTTTTACAGCTCATATCTATATTGTCATAGGTGTATATTTGAGAATCCATTGAGACCGAGTCGACGAGTGATATCACAATTAAAGTGAAGGTACAATAGATCATACTTGTAAACATAATGCAAATTTGTTGGTAAATGATCTCGTTGTTTCTCAACCTTAGAGCCACGGTTGCTATAGGTTTTCTTTGGGGCGAATTAACAAATAAATTATATGAAGTTTACATGTACCAACTACCCCTATTCCCGGACTCCTCCCTAAAGGAACTCTACGCAGTAATCGCTTTCTATGTCAGCTCTGACCACCTTTCCTTACAAGACTAATTCATGACTAATCCAATGCTCCTTCCTGATTAGTTTCAGGGCTAAATTTACTCAAAGCAGATTAGGGTTTGATTTGGTTTGTTCATTAACTTGCTAGGTAAAGTGACTACCTTAGACTTCACCCATGTGTTGAATCATGTCAAGCCCAACCGTCCAGAGAACCCCCTTTTGGCGTGCCGAAGCGCAAATTCCTCCTTAGCCTCGGCCACCACGCGGCCGAGCCCTTGACAACTCCGCGTTCTGCAACTTTTCCCTTTCATTCAGTCCCAGCTTTGGCTCATCTCATCCCGGGGTCGTTTTCTACATTGGAGACCTCATCCTGTCGCCCACCAAGGCCTCCTCAGTTTGTTTTCCCTTTAGTTCCTTCATGCACCATCTCTCTATCCTTCAGCCGATCTCGTCATCCCAGAAACTTTGTAGAATGTCCACCCCTCCGGCCTTGCCCCATCGCTGCCGTACCCTTAACCGTGGAAGTCGAAAACGTGACTGAGAGCTCAAGACCGAGGCACCGGTGCCCCAGCCTTTGTCGAACGCTCTAGTTGGTGTGCCGGCGAAATGTCGTACGTATTTCATCGGTGGTGATTCGTCGTAGGTCGAGTTGTTGGTGCCCTTGGCCAAGGTGAGGACGCATTTAGGGCCGGTATTTCAACCGTACCTTCACAGCGACTGGCAGTTACGGAGGGTCGGACATCCCCTTCCTTCTTTGTTGGAGATTTGACTTTTGGAGGTATGGGATTGCCTCGGTAGGTGGTGAGATGATTGTGGAGAGGGCCGCGAGATGAGTTTGGCTGAGAATGAATTTCCAGAGAAAATAGATCAAGATCTTGTGGGTGTCGGTTGTTGTAATACGAAAATCAGACAGGTTACAGCCTGTCTACGGTTCGTATTTGGGGCGTATATGGTTGATTTCGTTGAGTTGTGCAGTCGTGAAATCTCTGTAAGTCGGATTTTCGACCAAAAATAAGTCAACACCACTCCTCTCGATCGCCAACTCGACAAAAACTCTCAAATTCACCTCTTGTCGTGACTGAATCTCAGCTCTAGGAGAATATTTCACCCCCAGGTTCGTAGAGGACACCACTGACAGGTGTTCAGCCTTCATTCTCCAAATCAGATTGGGGAACTGTATGCGAGAGTATTCCTACAGATCTGGTTGAGTGCGAAGAGCTGACGTGTTAGTCAGTCTTGAATCAATGGCTCGTGAGCAAGCTCATTCGGTAATTTGAAATTTTTTAAAACCTAGACACTTAGAAAAAATTGTGGAGAGAGATTTTAGTCTTTGTTTTCCGAAGTTCTGGATAATAAATACGTTTGCGATTTTTTATCAACCTCGACCCGGATGCGGTTTATTTTTTGGTTCGCAAACATGCTGGGTATGCTGAACGTTTGTACCGGCACCTCTATACTATGAAGAATTTGTCTATTCCGCCAACTCTCAAGAATTGAAGCTGATTACCAAAATTTTGGGTTCCAGTCATTATACTAGGCTGTCTGTCATGACGAGACATCCTTGAGCCAGGTTCAAGGAGATATGCCACGGCAAGTCGTTCTCAAATCGAATGCTTGAAGAAACTCCAACGAGACGGTTCTCCGGAAAACTCAGACATTTAGTGACACAGGTTGGAGTCACAGGTAGATTTTGCTTAAGCATATGTTTGATTGTGTCACTTTGATTTTGTGTATTTGAGGAAGCTGGTGCTACTGCCTAGTATCTTTCAAGCCTAGCAACTTGAAATATTCTTACACTTCGAATAATTTTATCATCTCGTATTCTATATTTTCACGCCTGAAAATTACTATATTACTTTGTCTATTCCTCATCTCTGTTATCTCAAACTTCTCGCACTTCGCTAGCTCAGTCCACTCAAATACTCTTTGAAGTGTTGACCTTATGAACTTACCTCCTAGCCATTCCTAGTATACTTTTGGCAGAGAGCAATCTTGTATTTACATACTAGACGCTGTAATAGTATCCTTGCAGGTCGCTGCACAAAACAGTGCAATGGATGGAACAATATATAGAAGAATGGAACTTGATGGAACAGAATACAATGGCGAAGAATATGATGAACTAATCTGGGATCAGATCATACGGACGTAAAAGGAAGACTGTAGATAGTTAGATACCCAATGCTAGGGAATAAATGACATGTATATGCAAAGTAAATATCAATTGGGTGGTCTTCAGACAAAATAAGATGAAATCCGCGAAGATCAAGCTTCCACATACCTCAAATATCTACAAACTGGGGGACTTTTCTCAACACCTGTCAGTGGTGTCCCCTACGAACCTCCAGCTCTCACTGTAGAGTCTGCAAAGCCGAGACTGAGTAACAAATTCCTCACTTCGACGAGGATTCCCAATCGCTTTCACGGTCTGTATCGTCTTCAACTTCCAACACATTCCCCTATTACCATTATCACGAAGCTTACCGCGATCAGATCAGATGCTAGGCTCGGAGCCCTACTCATCACCAACCCTTGGTTATGGAGGAAATGCCATCCGATGAGTTTCCGGAGCGTACACAGCACCCGATCCGGAGATGGTGGATTGTGTCAAGATAGCCTCGAATGTTACAAGGGAAATGTAGATGAATATGTTCACCTCATGTGGTCCTGATATCTAGGCCTCGCCTGGCTGGGGCTGCAGGTTTTTTCGAGACTTTTTCCCGCGCACGCAGTTTCCATTGCTACCATTTTTTTGGAATGAAGGTTCCGTGGAAAAGGTGGCCTAATTCCACGGGTAAACACATCAATGATCTTTCAAGTAACAAGAGGATAGGAGCACTGTGCGAGGTGTGATATGGGCCAGAAATCAGTCTAATGTGCTACATAATCTAAGACTCAAGTAGTACAATAAACACAACTCTCTCTCTCCCTCTACAAATCTGCGGTTGCCAGGAATAATCGCATTCGGATCAAAGTCGAAAGCAAACACAGGAATGTCTATTATCGATGACATCTCATCAACATCTTTCCTCAACCCCGGCACCATTCTCGTCGTCTTCATAATCTTACAGGCTATAGGAAGCGTATCTTTGATGAAGGAGATAACTCAGCTCAAAGTTGAAAAGCTGTTACTCAATCTCGGCTGTGTAGATTCTATAGTGAGAGCTGGAGGATCGTAGGAGACACCACGAACAGGTATTGTGTTTCGCCACCATGCTAGACACCATTGAATATGTTAATACTTCTATTGTAAAAGGAACGCAAGTTCAGAGTGTGTACTCTCATAATTCCATTAGATAGATAATGTGACAACGCAAAACTGAGGCGGAACATGGCTTCGTGTTTTGATGAAGTGTAAGCTACATGTGTGGTTGAAGTATATCATTTGAGCCATATATCGTCGTCTCAACACCTCTGATGTAAATCTGTTTTACTCCGTTTATATCTTCCGACAAGCCATCATTGCACACATGTCAAATCACTTAATTTTCAAGACTATTTTTTTCATATTGACATAAAGACCTGCGAAATATGCACCCATTTCACGATTTCCCTTCGTAGGCTGCATCATAAATCTAGTATTTGGATTGTATTGAATTTAGTCATACGTTTCGACATCCTTCCGTTTATGTTTACAGCTCACACTGTGTAATTTTCGGTCTGTTGGTTTTTTGAGTGCTTTTAATACCATCATTGTAGGTAAAATTCGAGTTTCTACCAAGTTTACGACGGAAAGCCTCACGTAAATTAAAATATAAGTTTTTCATAATAAAAATTCCAACACTGAGATATTAATGTTTTATTCAATTTATTGTAAACACAGCAATCCGACATGCTAAATCAGTGAAATTGCTATTAAGCTTCAGATGATATAGAAATTCCTGAGAGTTAGTTGAAAATAAGTGAGGCGAAGCCAGTGACTCGTAGTGCGAAACTATTATTTTACCTACATAAACTGTGTCTTGACTAAGGCGTCTTTAACTTTTGATGTTTATGATATGTGATAGCTTCACCTGATAACAATCTTGAGTCGTCTAAGCGTCAAGATGTTATGGGATAAGATCCTGACCATAGTAGACTGCCACCTTAATTTATTGAAATCTGTTTCAGGTAATATATCTTTGTGAAGGTGTACGACGATCTTTGTTGATATTTCTTCTGAATGAGCCCCTAATTAAGCAATCTGCACTAAGAAACTCGCTTATGACTAGCGTAATAATTAGTTACACGAGACTAGGCTGCGTGTCCTTTGCCCGGTTTTCCCTAATCATTCTTCGTCCTTCACGCGAACTTGCCTTTTTCCAACACACTGGTTTCAGCAACCATTCTATTGTAATCGTGATAAAGTCCCCTTCCTCCGCGCACTAAACAGACCGATCCACAATTCCATCAGCTTTTATTATTTCGCCCCACAAAAATCTCAGGACGCTCTCCTCTACTTTCATCAAATCCGTCATTAACAATTATCTCGATGGCATCAATGGATTATGAAAATGAGAATAGTGCTCGATACGAAGGTAAAATACATCCCATGAATGAAGACGAACCTCGAAACCTGATGAAAGACACAAATCTGACGCGGTCATAATTTAGAAGAGCCCTCTCGTTATGAACATGATAGAAGTGCATCACCAAGACCTTCTCGCCGCAACGATAGCCCTCGTGAGCGCCCAAGAAGATCTGCATCTCCGAGTGGCAACACTCACGTAGACAGCCGGTAGGTTTCTAACATCATAACAAATATCTTTCTAATCTGAAATCAGTCCTCCCAAGGGAGATACTCGAGGTGCACCTCCGGATGATGGTGCAATTAACCCTGGATCTAACTTATTCGTGACTGGTATCCATCCTCGTCTCTCCGAGCAGGATGTTACACGTCTGTTCGAAAAGTATGGAGACGTCGAAAAGTGTCAAATTATGCTTGATCCTCACTCGAAAGAGTCTCGTGGATTCGGTTTCGTAAAGATGGTCACTGCTGATCAAGCGGACGCAGCAAAAGAAGGGCTCCAGGGTGAAGTAATTGAAGGCCGTACACTGAGCATTGAGAAGGCTCGTCGCTCACGCCCACGAACCCCGACACCGGGAAAATACTTCGGCCCTCCAAAGAGGGGTAAGCAATTCCTTATTACCCATTTTATTGATGCTAAACCATCAGCAGAAGATCCCAGACAATTCGGAAGATACAACGATCGCTACGATGATCGTCGCAGAGGGGGTTACAGTGGGAGAGATGATTACAGGGGAAATCACTACCGACGTGATGACCGTGATCGTGGATACGGAGGTAGAGACCGTGACGATTACGTTCCACGCGGAACAGACAGATATGCTCGTGATGATCGATACGGAGGTCGCGGTAACGACGATCGCCGAGGGGGTGGCGGAGGGTACTCAGATCGATATGAGCGGGGTGAACGAGGATCTACTCGTGAAGTACCTCCAGCAGCTGCATACGGCGACCCAGCACCCCGTGGCGAGGGCAGAGATCCCTACGGAGGAAGAGGAGGCTACGATGATGAGAGATTCTCAAGACGAGAATACTAATACTGACAGATTTCACAGTCGAGCTTCCTGACATCTGTACACGATTCTACTTCAAAATAATTTCCCACAAAAGGTCTGTATCGCGACTAGGTTAAGCTAACATTTCTTTGAAAATCGTCAAAGACTTCGATAAGTATAAAAACTCGTCAAAAAGACCACATAGATCTTATCGGACATTGAAGTGCAGACTGAAGGGCGAGCGAACGTCTCTCGATCATGACTTTCAATGGGTGCAGATTTTCCTTGGTTTCGCCTGTGGGCTGTACATCAGAACGAAATTCGGTCAGTTTGGGCTGGATCAGCACATTGTCAATCTCATCACTGGCGTTTTTTATCCGAGCAGCAGAGGATTTGGTATTTTCGCGTCGAGCACAGCATTCACTTTCAGCATTTAGGCTTCCATGTACCACAATTTCTCAGCTTTTCAATAAGCACTTGTTGCATTCACAACTATATTGCTCGGCTATCGCCCTGTTTACGCCGTCAGTCCTTACCGACTTGTCTTGATCCTAATGGGTCCTACAAAATTCAGCTCGCAGCTTGTGACAAGCAATAATATCGCAAAAAATTGATTTAGCGCAGCCATCCACATTCTTCTATTCCAAAGTGCCCATTCACAAGCCATCTTCGGTTCGATGATTCCTGACTTGCATGTGCCGACCTCACCACACAGTACAGTAATATATAAATGGCGACTAATCGTAAACTAAAACCCACCTCCACCCCAGACAGAACTCGCACATACATAGACGTTACACATCAATCACTGAGCATATAATCTCAATTGGTGTTGGAAATAACATTCTCTTAGAACCACCCAGTCTCGGTAGCTCTCCAAAGAGGAAAAAGGTAAATTAGTAGTTGAATTAACCACGCTGACGTATTTCTATTAGGTAATACAAATTTTTCATCAAGATCAAGGTCGTAATACACATCGCTGGGACTTAGGTAAAGATGTTCTCATGAACTCTCAAAGTCCAATCCGATACCTGTCCCCCCAGATCAGAATCCATTTTAGACTTGAAGTTCCTTCTACTTGAGCCTAATTAAGTTATCTCTCGATAAACAAGGTAATCGAGTTTTTTTGATATGCTATCTTTGTATATTACCTGATGTAGTAGTCTTCATGTTCCATTCTCGTAATGGCTGATAGTTACCTCATTAGATAGGGGATGTGGTTTGTTCCCTTCCATTAGTTAGCGCACTTGTCTTTTGGGTTTGAAACGACATTCTTCGTAACGACTGTCAAAAACATTGACATGTAAAGTATCACAGATGAGGAGCAACTTGAGGAATACATCTTCAACCCCAAAAAAGGCCATCTAGTCCATAGAAACCACTTTTTACTTCCACTCTAGAAACCACTCTGGAACTTCTAGATCCCGCACATTGTAAACTTCTGTTCGCGCGAAATATCAACCATAGAAAATCTACGTCGAATTCATGGCAGGATCGGAGCTTTAGGTCTACCTAGAACCATCTCATTGACACAAGCCTGAAGTTTTTGAGCGTGCGTTGTGAAACAAGTAAACAGTGGAGTGTAGACGTAAGATCGAAGATTATATTTGGTATCCCGTATCTTCCAATTACAATGTACCTTGTATAAGGCTTGAGACTAATACGTCAATTCTGTATCCTCCTAGACAAATAATTGTTGTTACTAAGAGCTCACGGTAGTCAATGAACTGAAGATCCAGCTTAGCATTATGCGCAGGATGTGATAGCTATATGGTCTGATTTTTGTGTATTGAGGACAGTGTTGATCAAATGAGGAGAAGAACTTATCTATGTACAAGATTAAGGTGTCCGTATACTGAATATTACCCTACACAGCTGCCACTATAATCTAATGTAATTTCCAAAGACCACACGTTACAACAAGAATACCTATGCGCCTAATACATTAACCCTCTGTTACATCTCATCTCTAGTGAGACCTGCTTTTGTGACTGTGCGATCTGATCGTGTGAGATCATAAGTCACCAGCGATTTATCTAATTGCCGTACTTCAAAAATCTGATCAACCTGTAACTGCGTAGGCATTTTCAGGATCCACAAGCCCACGTTGAAGTCCAGGTTTTTAGAAAATTGTTGGAAATGGAGACACAGAGTGTTGTGGACGTATGGACCCTCTATTTCGTCTAGGATCCCGACACGATCTCGTGTGTATTTAAGACGTTGGAGTAGGTAATATGGTACCGCTTCAGGCTGTCTCTTGGAGACATGATCGGCTATATGGCATGGACACAAGGAGGTTATTGGGGGTTTTCTATGCCTAGATGGCGCCACGCTCGTTTATGCTGTGGCTCAGGCTCTGTGTCGCTTACACTTGTACTTGTAGCGCACATCTCCCACACTTTTAGCTTTAATCCGAACACGACACTCTTTTAGTCAACTTCTACTTTCGTTCCATGAATATTGCGCCCATTTCATTGCGCAATATTTCCATCAAAAATTAAAAATAACAAGATTCTCCGCAAACCATTCACTTAGCACAAGAATAAACCATGATATTGTCTTATACAGTTAGCACACTTTCAAAAGTCCTATCAGCAGGGCAAGACTGAACACCTGTAAGCGGTGTCCTCTTCGAACCTGAGAGTGAAATATTCTCCCAGAGCCAAGTTCAGTCAAATTTCGCAATATCAAAGAAGATGGCCCACGGGGTAAAAATTCGAATTACTCCACCATGTCAATTTTTCACTCCTAACGAGATCGACTCATGTACAAGTCTCATCAAGTCTACAAGTACGACATAGTACATCCTCGTTTCAATGACCACACCTCTCGTCGACTTTCTCTGGCCTCAGCCGGTCACCAAATACACGCCCACGCCGATATTTATACCCGACGGAGGAAGGAAAGCGTGGAGCACAAATCTGGGAGACTGTTCTTTGGGATGGACGTGAGAGGGATCAGGACAAGTTTACAAGATGATGCAGAAGAGGGATACGTTTTCGACGGGCGTGAAATTTCGAATTTTGGCATGGAGTTTTACGAGTTGAGCTTTGTGTGTGCCAAGACTTCGCTTGCGAGAGTGCAGCTGACACTATAAACACAAGCCAACGATGGAAGGTGTATTGTCCGCCTCCTGGTGGTGTTCTCTGGTATAGTTTGAGTAGCCTGGGCACCTACTCCACTTGGGAAGGAGACACCTCAGATCACATATCGCGCAGAGAAAAGTTGAAAGATGCTGGAGGCATGTCTGGATAACTCAGGGTTTTTGAGACGTCCCCCTGGGTGGGTATTTACGGATGAGGGTTGACTTGGGGTGAAGAAAAAGCCACCATAACTTCGCAGTGGTACCTGCAAATGAAATCTGAGGCATGAGTGCTCTTCCTTTACGTTGAATCATCTCTTCTGTACTTTTCTTTGATATTGTGTCATAGCTAGATAGCTGCATACGCAATTAAAATCTGATGCAAAAAAAAAAAGTCCTATCACTTTACTAGAGAGTGCTGAGTTCCGAACTTGATGCCTCGGCAATGTCCTCGTAGATCTGAAAATATAAAAATGTACACTATGTTTTAAATTGCAAATTTTCTTTGGATTACAACACTTTAGTTGTGCAGTATTAAGTAATAGATGTAGGGCTGAGAAGAAATGGACTAGTTCAACTGGACTGGATCCTATAAAAAGGTGCGTTTGGTATCTACATTGTTACAGGTTCAGTTAAGTGAGACATTCATAGGATACGTGCCTTCAAAGTTCTACATAAATTTGATTTGTGTCCTTGCTGTAGCGAGACATTAAACAATTAATTTTTAATTTTAATTTACATTATTATCAAGACAATATTGTTCAATTGGAACCTATCGTCAAATCATGATGGTCATCTGTTGAGCTTGCCAGATTGTATTATGCAGGTAGGTGGCTAGTCACGTACATCAGTGCCACTCAAGGTGTCCCCTATAAAGCTTTTGCTATTGCATCAGGTTTTTATCGCGTATACAGCTATTTAGCCATACTACGATATCTGTCGGTTTATCTAAGACGTAAAAGTAGATGTGTCATCATGGATGCGCTAGGCAGGATTCACAGCTTTACAGTGGATCCTGTGTGGCGTAGAAGACAAGACAATTATGAACACTTAGACCTACACAGAATCGTACAACTCTTTACTGAATCATTACGATCGATCGTGAAACCACCCGTAGTAATTCCAGCAATATCAGAGGTAAATTATAGAACAGCCTTCTTAATTTAAAAGTAGAGCTCTCATGCCTGGAGTTTCATTTGCAAGTATTACGGTTTGACCGTTGTTTAAGCTTTGGAGGAAATCTAAACGCTTAATTAGGAATAATTACAATAAAACTGAAAGAGGAAGGATGGAAAAATATAGATGAAATGGCACTGCTAGCCAGGAGGTCGAAGCAACATCATAGCGTACTGGCTCCTGATAATACTTGGCTCGGTAGCAAATTTTAGTTTGTTTTATTCATTAACGTCCTAGGCTACATGACTACCGTTGCACTCCTATTGGAGCTTAAGCACGAGTGGGGTTGGGCTGGATCAGGTTAACTACCGTGAAGTACAGACAAACCTCGTCCCACTTTAATGACCGGACCACCTCAGACTTCACCTGTGTGTTGAATCATACCAAGCCTAACCGTCCAGAAACCCACTGTATACACGCCGTAGCACGATTTCCTCCTCAGCCTCGGCCACCACGCGCCCGAGCCCTTGACATCCTCATTGACTCCGAAATATAATTGCCGTCCAAGATCTCATCGTTGCTCTAGCCTTGCACCTTCATATCGTTCTGTTGGGTTGTTTTCGTCATTGGGGATTTGTGTAATCCCCTCGGTGTATCTTCCCTCTTCTTCCTCCTTTGTACACGTCCCGTTTCCATCATGACTTTCCTCATTAGGGCGTGTGTAGGTAGGTGATCGGACGAGTATGGAGGTGGATCGCAGGTGTAGGATCGACTGAGAAATGCTTCGTCGTATATATAAAAGGAGTTTAAGAGATGTCGGATGTTTGAATACGACTCCCAGACA